CACAAAACCATTTTTTAAAAAAAGCATGAGCACTCATGTAAAAAAGGATAAATACAAAAAAAAAAATGGCAATATGTTCATGCTGCATTATATTCAAAAAGTTAGCTTACAAAACAGAAATGATCCCATTTTAAGGGATGGGTGGGTGATCATGGGAACAGAAATAAACACACCAAAATGTCATCATAGATTATCTTTAGAAGTGCGCTGTGGGTGATTTTCTTCTTTTCTTTCTTTTTCTCTTTTGTTTAACCATATTTTCTATTTTTTTTTTTGTTTCTGCAGTGAACATGTTTTCCTTCTGTCATTTAAAAAACTTAAAATAATTAACAAAATGCCCCCACCTCGTCCTACACACCACAGGCAAGGAGTCACCATGGGAGGATGCCCTTCGACTATCACCACTGCCCTCCCCGCACAGCACAACCAAAGGGAAACAATGTCTTCTTGAGGGAGTCTGGGCCATTCTCATCCTACCCCCCATCACAGCATGGAAGAGGTCCAGAGAACTATACTTGAAGAACAGTGAGACACACCCTGCTGGCCCTGGGCACCTGGCAACTACAGAGGCCCAAGGCCCTGGACGAGTCCAGCAGAGTGAAGGCGAGGTAGGGGAGCTCAAGGGAAGGTGGCCGGACTCAGGCTGAGCCCAGTATCTGACACTGAAACCATACCATTACCTTCCACACTCAAGGCCCATAAGGTAGAAACGAGATAGGAATAAGATGATACCTGGAGGATATCAAGCTTGTTTTGCAGAAAACCAGGGAAACCACAGATACAGAAAACAACCTGCTGAGAGCCTCCTTCAAGGAACACCGAGGGACTAGGACAACCAATAGTGAATTTTGATAATGAACTTCACATATCACAGGCTGAAAATCCACCTCACGTAATGCAGGGAAGCCCCCTGAATTTGCAAATGCAACCCATGCAGAGGCATGAAGAGCAGTCAAGACTGCAGAGAACTCCAGCAACTGACAAATCACCTTCCACCAATCACTTCCCAGCCCCTTCCCCTCTATTCCCTACTTTCACATAAATATCCCACTCAACAGTCAATTGATTTGTTGTTGTTCAGTCACTAAGTCATGTCCAACTCTTTGTGACCCCATGGACTACAGCACACCAGGCTTCCCTGTCCTTCACCATCTCCTGGAGTTTGCTCAGATTCATGTCCATTGAGTTGGTGATGCCATCCAACCATCACATCTTCTGTTGTCCCCTTCTCCTCCTGCCTTCAATCTTTCTGAGCATCAGGGCCTTTTCCAATGACTTGCCTCTTTACATCAGGTGGCCAAAGTATTGGATCAATCGATTAGGGAGACAGATCTGAGTACCACTTCCTGCTTGGCTGCCCTGCAATAAATCCTTTTTCTCTCTGCAAAAGTCTTGGTTGGTGTTAGGTCTTTCCATTATGCAGCAGGAAGCGAGCACACTTGCTTGGTCATAACACAGAGTAAGTAATTTTTAAATATACATTTCTTGAAGGAGTAATGCATTACAAATTAGTTTGGGAACCAGCTTTGTCCTAAGTTCCTAGACATGCTCTGGCTCTCTTGGGACATCCTGTGAGGTCTCAGGCGTGATAGGCCATGGGCCAATCCCCCGGAAGAGGGTGCCCAAAGTGCAGGATTAAGAGTATACAGATGGTGAAATGGCTGCAAGCACAGATTTTCAAGAGACACATATCTAGTTCAAATCACAGCTTTCCCTCTACCACCTGGGTGAACCTAGGCAACTAACTTCAATCGTCTAAGCCTCAGTTACATCATCTGTAAAATGGAAATAATAATACCTACTTTTGGAGTCATCTCCAAATTAAAGACAAGCTGCTTGCCATGGATAAGCTCTCTTTCCCCTTTTCTGTGGGATATAATTACAATACTTCTGCAGAAGTAGCTGTCACTCAGATGTAACTGTTCAGATATGAACAACATGCTGAGGGATCCTGAAAGAATCTGAGTTCCTAAATGATCTCAAGGTGCACAGCTGTTCCATCAGTTTGGATGGGCTGGACTGCTCCTTGAAAAAGAAATACATTTCTTCCATTGATAGGTCTCTTTGTAACAGAAGCTCAGCTTAATACATCAACTAATCTAGTTAGCCTACAGTCAAGTAAAAGTTGAAGCATATGAAATTACTGTTTTTATAGGTCAAAAACAGTTGAATATCAGGATATAGCTCAACCTAATGAGATCTAATCAAATATTTTAAGGAAGTTTGGAACACTCTTTTCTTCACAATAGCTACTTCACTCTGTCACTAATGTGCAGGGAATTAAGATTCAATATTCAGAAGCTATAAAGCATCATTGAAAGAAATTAAAGAAGGTCTATATAAATAGAAAGATATCCCAGGCTCATGGATTCAAAGACTTAGTATTACTTAGATGGCAATACTCCCCAAGGTGGTCTAAAGATTTAACACAATCCCTACAAAATTCTAGCTGCCTAATTTTCAGAAGTGGACAAAAAGACCCTCAAACTCATATGATAACTGAAGAGACCCAAATAGCCAAAATAATCTTGAAAAAGAAGAAAGTTGGAAGACTCACACTTCCTCATTTCAAAACTTACAACAAAGCTACAGTACTTAAAAAACAGGTGGCATTGGCATAATGGCAGACACATAGATCAATGAACTAGAACTGAGAGTCCAGAAATAAACTCTTACATTGTGGTGAACTGATTTTCGACATGGATGTCAAGACAATTCAATAAGGAAAAAAATAGACAACTAGATAGCCACACGAAAAATAATGAAATTATACCTCCACCTCACACCACATACAGAAATTAAGTCAAAATGGAAGAGACCTATACATAAGAGCTAAAATTATAAAACTCTTAGAAGAAAACAAAGGTATAAAACTTCATGACTTGGTTTCTTGGATAGGACACCAAAAAGCACAAGCAATCAAAGAAAAAGCTGGTAAATTGGACACCAAAATTTAAAAAGCTTGTATTTCAAAGGATAATATCAAAAAAGTGAAAAGAAAACCCACAGAATGGGAGAAAATATTTACAAATCATGTACTTGATAAGGTTCTTGCACGTAGAATATATAAAGAACTCTTTCAACATAAAAATGTAAGGACATATAACTCAATTTCAAAACTGGTAAAGGATTTCAACAGACATTTATTCAGAGAAGATATACAAATGACCAATAAGCACATGAAAAGATGCTCAAGATCATTAGTTATTAGGGAAATACAAATCAAAACCACAATGAGATACCACTTTACATCAACTAAAATGGGCACAATAAAAAATAACCAGTATTGAGATGATATGGAGAAATTGGAACACTCGTGTGTTGCTAACAGTAAGCTGTGGTAAAAAAAAATTGTTTGGCAGCTCCGGAAAAAGTTAAATAAAGAATTACCATGTGACTCAGAAAATTTCACTCTGAGATATATACCCAAGAGAACTGAAAACATAAGTTCATACAAAAACTTATACACAAATGTACATAGCAGCATTATTTACATTAGACAAAAAGTGAAACAACCCAAATATCCAACTAATGAATGAATAAACAAATTGTGGTATATCCATACAATGGGATATTATTCAACTATTAAAAAAATGAAGTTCTGACACATGCTACAACATATATGAATCCTGAAAACATGCAAATGAAGGAAGCCAGACATGGAAGACCATAAAATGATTCCATTTATACAAAATGTCCAAAATAGGCAAATCCATCGAGACAGAAAGTGAATTATTGGTTTCCAGGGAGTAAGGGTAGAGATAGGAGATATTGGGGAATGACTGCTAATAGGTATTGAGGGCTTTTTTGAGTGATAAAAAGTATTCTGCTTGTCATGGGTTGAATGGTAGCTGTGAAAAGGTACATCCAAGTCCTAATACCCAGAATCCTTATTTGGAAAAGAATCTGCCCTAGAGTCTCTGGAGAGAGTATGAGTCTACTGATACCAATTTCAGACTTCTGGCCTTTAGACCAAAAATTTCTATGGTTTTAAGCCACCAGATTTGTAGTAATTTGTTACAGCAGCTTTAGGAAACTAATAACAATGATGATTACTGTAAAACAATGTAAATTCACAAAAAAAAAAACCATTGACATATATTTTAAAAGGTACACCTTATGGTATATGAATAATATCTCAATACTGTTATTTAAAATACACACACACAAGCTCACTTTACAACACAGTGAGAAGTAACAACTTCATAGACAAAATATAATGGTCATCTATAAGTCCTTTAAAGGATTTATAGATATAAAGATGATCTAAAGTCTTTTCTTTTGTATACCAAGGTGATGCTACTGTCTCACAGCCATGAGGATGCTTAGACTCTGTAGATGCTCATCCTCCCATTAGTGGGAACAAGATTTTTAGATCCATGTCCTTGTGACTTTTTGGGCTGACATTAACTAGAGGGATGGTTGGTCTAATCTTTGACTCTGCAGTTCTGGGTGCATGTTTGAGACCTATCTTCCCATTTCTTTATCAATGCTCAACAGACAAGACAGATCCTTAACTAAAAGCTTAGCTGGGTAACTGGAAAGGATAATTTCCAGCTCACCCAGAAAAAAGAGACAGCACAAACAATACTTTTCCACTGAAGAGCTTACAGTGAGAACAAGTTCATTAGTAACAGCCACTGATGCTAAGGAAACCAGGGTGACTGTGGAGGAGGTCTACGGGAGGGACTGGGTCCCCCACCATTCTGTAGGTCAGTGCACACGGCCCCTAGAATCTCCTGGTCTTTCTTAGGGGTCAGTCACCAACACAGATGAGCCTACACAGAACTGGTACCAGCCACAGCACTGCAGGGACTTCTGGTTGATGAGGCATCAGAAACTGTTATTCAGCAGTGTGGAATTTAGTATAAATTGCTCTGAAAAGGTCACCCAGACCTCTTGGGGGTGCCTGGGATTCTACACCAATGCTCCAAGTCCTGAGGCATCTGTGCAATGAAAATACATCTGGGGAATGCTGCCTGTTCACCTCTGGACCTTACCTCCACACGTCGCTGCCTTTGGAAAACATGGAGGCACGAATGACTTCAGGGGCCATCCAGGCATACGTCCCAGCTGCACTCATCTTGGTGGTTCGGTGCCATTCCCGAGCCAGGCCGAAATCAGTGATCTTCAGAACCTTGTTGCTCAGGTCTCCATTCTCCACCTTCTGGAGGATCAGTACTTGACAAGGAAAGGAAGACAGGAAAAAACCAGAGAGTCTGCATTAATCACAGGAAACCACGCCATACAGAGCCCTCCTGCCATCCTCTGGGCCTCTCCTGCAGACTCCATGGGTGGAAGGTGAAGCCACCATCCTTAAACTCCCCAGATGTACTTATTCTGGTGCCAGATATACTGCAGGCATGATCTTCAACCCTCACAACCACCTTATGGGGTAGATATTATTGCCACGGCTACTCTACAGACGAGGAAACTGCAGAGCCACTAAATAAATTTTCCAAGGTCACTCAGCTAATAAGCCAGGACTGAAACCCCGGCAGCCTGACTCAAGAGCCTCCTCTGTTACTGTGACACCGTAGGGCCCCGTCACACCCCAGGACAGAAGAGCAGGGGGTCACAGCCGACTCTCCTGAGGAGAAGCTCCCCGGGCTTCCTGTCTCTTTCAGGGCACTCCTGGGCTTTCACTGCTCTCAAACCACCAAGAGTGGAGGTGCCTGTTGGACTTCTAAGGTTTTCAGACGGTGTTGAGCGGTTTCCATGAGCCTCTGCAAGTGACTTTATTTAAAGTCTTACGAAAGCATATCTTTGGGGCACAGATTTTCCCCTTAATCTGAGCTCCTGGGACGTGAGGAAGCCGAGCCTCCATTCCCACAGCTGGGACGGTTCCCAGGGCCCCTGGGTTGGCACCCCTCTGAGGCCCAAATGCTGAACCACCTGGAGTTCAGAGCTCTGTGAACAGGATTTCAGAGAAGGAGGGAAGATTCTCTTTGCTGTTCAAGTCTAAACGGGAAGAGCAGGAGAAGGGGGTGGGTTTTAGGACAAGAGCTGAAAGCAATCCCTCAAGTCATACAACTGTACTTTTCTTTTCCTGCCCCCTAAACCGCACCCGGCACATGTCCACTGAATTGTCACACAATGAAAGGATGTGGGTCAAAGTTTTCTGTGTCCTGTGTGCTTCCCAGAAAATCAGCAGTAAAGGGAGATTGTTGTTGCTGCTGTTGCTAAGTTGCTTCAGTCAATTGTTGTTGTTTAGTTGCCAAATCTCGTCCAATTCTCTGCGACCCCATGGACTGTAGCCCACCTAGTCTCCTCTGCCCATGTAATATCCCAGGCAAGAATACTGGAGTGGGTTGGCATTTTTTTTCTCCAGGGATTCTTCCTGACCCAGGGATCGAACCCACGTCTCCCGCTTGGCAGGTGCATTCTTTACCACTGAGCCACCAGGGAAGCCCCAAAGAGGGATGACATGCAGCTAGAGGGCTAGAAGCACAAAAGGAAATAGCGCCAGCCGCTCCCTGGATCTAATGGACTAAGTTTCCTTCCTCCACACCCTCTCCCCTGCTCCCCTGACCCCTGACACACCCCCACCCCACTCCAAGCTTCCAGCATTCTGAATGGGTCCAAGTCTTGAAATGCTTGGGAGATTAAAACAAACAACAAACAGCTTTCTACATCTCATCTACTCACAAAAATCTTCCCAGATTCTTCTGTGCCTCTCTCCCCTTCTCTGCGGGTAGAGAGATAACAGACTAATAAGCACTCAGGCTGCTGGGGAAGCAGCATTACAGAAGCCACCATGCCCTCTGCAGTGCTGGTAACTGGTCGCCGAGCATTTCTCTGAGCCACCTTTAAATCGAAGATGCAGGGAGAGCCCTTCCCCTTACAGATCCAATGGAGTGACAGGATTGGACAGGTGGCTGGGATGGGGTGCAGTGGGAGGAGGGTGATGGTTTCACAGTGCTTCATGAGTCCAGCTGAGCTTTCTCGGAGCCTATGCTGGAACGGGAAGGCAGAGAAGTTTAGATGCTATGACAGGAGACTGACTTTTAGAAACGGAATGGCCTACTGAAGATGATTTTCTAAATATATTAGTCTCTGGGTGGCTTAAGAGAGATAGCCAAAAGATGCAAACAGGCAAGAGACAGCCCAGGGCAATTTGTGTAAACTGGAATGCCTTTAGACAGTGCCCATCCAGCCCAGTTCCACCCAATCTCCGTGACTCCCTGCTGCCTTACAGCCAGATGACCTCAAACATCTGTTCTAACAAGTTGGGCTCCTGAAGGCATGGAAGTTAGAAATCTCTGGCCTAGGGGTCCTGCCCACAGCAAAGGAGAAAGGTTTTAAATCCTGGCAGTCAGTAATTCTAGCAGATGGTTGCAGTCAATGGTTCTCAAGAATAGTGTCCTGAAATACTGGTATCTACCAAATATGTATTACTATTAACAATCAAAGCAACAAAGTTTGTGAAAGCCAATTTTTGGTACTGTTTTAAAACTGACGTGAAATCCACATAACAAAAAATTAACCATTTTGAATTGAACAATCCAGCAGTATTTAGTATACTTGCAATGCTATATAACCACCACCTCTGTCTAGTACCAAAACATTTTCATCACCCCCAAAAGGAAACCCCATATCCATTAAACAGCTATTATATGCAGAGTATATGCACATATACATCATGTGAAATGCCAGGCCGGATGAAGCACAAGCTGGAATCAAGATTGCTGGGAGAAAGATCAAGAACCTCAGATATGCAGATGAAACCACTCTAATGGCAGAAAGCAAAGAGGCACTAAAGAGCCTCTTGATGAGGGTGAAAAAGGAGAGTGAAAAAGCTGGCTTGAAACTCAGCATTCAAAAACCTAAGATCATGGCATCTGGTCCCATTACTTCATGGCAAATAGATGGAGAAAACTGGAAACAGTGACAGACTTTATTTTCTTGGGCTCCAAAATCACTGCAGACGGTGACTATAGCTGTGAAATTAAAAGATGCTTGCTCTTTGAAAGAAAAGATATGACAAACCTAGACAGTGTATTAAAAAGTGACATCATTTTGCCAACAAAGTCCATATGGTCCAAGCTATGGTTTCTCCGGTAGTCATGTATGGATGTAAAGAGTTGGACCATAAAGAAGGCTGAGTGCTGAAGAAGTGATGCTTTTGAACTGTGGGGCTGAAAAAGACTCTTGAGAGTCCCTTGGACAGCAAGGAGATCAAACCAGTCAATCTGAAAGGAAATCAACCCTGAATATTCACTGGAAGGACTGATGCTGAAGCTGAAGCTCCAACACTTTGGCCACCTGATGTGAAGAACTGACTCACTGGAAAAGACCCTGAGGCTGGGAAAAATTGAAGGCAGGAGGAGAAGGGAGCAGCAGAGGATGAGATGGTTGGATGGCATCACTGACTTAATGGTCATGAGTTTGAGCAAACTCCAGTAGATACTGAAGGACAGGGAAGCCTGGCGTGCTGCAGTCCATGAGACCACAAAGAGTTGGACACAACTTAGCAAGTGAACATTATCATCACACATCATCCCCGTTCTCCCCTCTTCCTAGCTTCTGGCAACCACCAGCTTGCTTTCTAATGTTTCCAAGGTTCACCCACATTGTAGCTCATACCAGTACTTTATTCCTTTTTAGTGACTGAATAGTATTACATCATATATATATACCATAATTTGTTTCTCCTTTTGTCCACTGATAGACATTTGGGCTCTTTCCATCTATTGATTATTGTGAATCTGCTGCTATAAACATATGTGCACATATACTTGTTTGAGTGCCTATTTTCAATTTTGGGGGGTGTATACCTAGGAGTGGAATTATTAGGATATATGGTAGTTCTCTGTTGGACTTTCTGAGGAAGCACCAAATTATTTTCCACAGCAGCTGAACCATTTTACATTCCCATTAGCAATGTATGAGGGTTCCAGTTTCTCTGCATCCTCACGATACTTGCTATTTTCCTTTTCCTTTTTCTTCTTATTATTGTCATCCTACTAGATGTAAACTGGTATCTCCCTGAGGTTTTGATTTGCATTTCCCTAATAACTAATGACACCGAACATCTTTTCTCATGCTTGTTGGCCATGTGTACGTCTCCTATGGAGAAATGTCTGTCATTCTGTTGCTGAGTTATGAGTTCTTTATATATCCTGGATACTAGACCCTTATCAAACACATGATTGGCAAATATTTTTCCCTCTCTACAGGTGTTTTACTTTCTTGATAATGGTCTTTGATGTACAAAAGTTTTTAACTTAGATGAAGTCCACTTCACCTATTTTTCCTTTTGTTGTTTCTGCTTTTGATGTAATACCAGAGAACTGCCAGATCCAAGTTCATGAAGATTTGCCCCTATGTTTTCTTCTAAGAGTGTTAACGGTTTCAGCTCTCATATTACGTTGTTACTCCATTCTTAGTTAATTTCTGTATTCATATGAGATAGGGGTCCAGTGCCAGTCTTTTGCATGTGAATATCCAATTTTCCCAGCACTGTTTGCTAAAAGGGAAAGCTTTACTTTTTAAAACAGAGTGGAGCATAGGTTCCTCCAAACACGTTTTCCTAGGTAAGAGAGAAAGGTTATATTCATAGCAGCTTACTTACCTACACCACTGCTATAAGCCCATTCCAAGCGTCTACTGCTGACAAACACAGATGCAGCAGTAACAAACTATTGTGTTTTTACTTCTTGGAAAACTTAAGGATGTTTTATCAAAATCTGGTGAATTCCATGAAAGCGTATCATATAAACCCCCCTCTTGTGGGGGGTGTGGTAGAACAAATGCTGAAAACTAACATATACAAGTCAAGAGGAGTCTGGCCAGGCAGAGGAAGAGAAAGAAAAAGATGCATTGAACTCAAATCCTAGTGATTAATCAGATATAGGGGCTTGACACAGAAGGAAGACATCTCTTGTCTTTCAGATATGGATGACAAGTAGAATGGTAGTACCCCTAACTGAGAAGTTGAAAGACAAACCCATTTGAGGAAGCCAAGTTCAGTCTGGGACATAATGGGTTAGGGTGACAGTAACAAGAGTCAGTGAGATTAGAAAAAAAAACAAAAACAAAAACATGCAATCTAAATTCCAGGCTTGACATTTTCCATGCAACACGTGTTAAGTTTCATAAACTCTGCATCATTATTCCTGATTCTATAAAATGGGGATAAAGATTAAAGGCAATACAGTGATAAGGCATCCACCAGAGTG